GGAAGGCGCCCGGCATGATGGGGTGGTGGCCGGAGAAGGCTGTCACCTTCGTCGACAACCACGATACCGGTTCGACGCAAAGGTTGTGGCCTTTTCCTTCTGATAAGGTCATGCAAGGCTACGCTTATATACTCACGCATCCGGGCGTCCCTTCCATCGTAAGTATGCTTCCGCCTAACATTCGATTCAAATAGTATCACAGCATGACGATTATATATATGTTCGTGTTTGCAGTTCTACGACCACATGTTCGACTGGGGATTGAAGGAGGCGATAACTCAGTTGGCTGAAACCAGAACACGAAATGGAATTCATTCGGGTAGCGCCCTCAACATTCTGGCCTCTGATGCTGACCTCTACATGGCAATGATCGATGGGAAGATACTGATAAAGCTAGGCTCGAGATACGACGTGGGGAATCTCGTTCCTTCCAACTTCCACGTCGTTGCCTCTGGCAATGACTACTGCGTGTGGGAGAAGAGATGAAGACGACGATGATGAATCGTGGAAGAGACTTTTCGCTTCTCTTTCGTTCACGTTTCTCACCTGTGTTGTAAGACCTCGGTATGAATGAGGTCATGAAGCTTTTCCCTTGTTGGCCGTGAGGCAGCAGAATAAGTGATCCCTGGTAAGGACTGTCGTAATCTATTCGACCAATAAAAGGCAAATTATTGATCCGTATGGATCGATCCAAGTGAAATAATCGAGTTCCATGGTGCTATTCTCCAAATATATTATTGTAATTATCATGAGATATGTAAAATTGCTACATTGTTCACTGTGAAGTTTAGCTAACCCCATATGACAATACTGCAGACATGGAAAGATTAAAAGAAAATAAACGAAGAAGGATTTGTTTTGCGTATGGATAAGTAGAAACACATTGATGGTATGGAAACCACCAACAATCTCTCCTGAACCTTGGCTAGAAAATTGTATGTGACAATCGAATCATCATAAATCTTTGCAAGCATTACATTTAGTACTCTTGTGCAGCAGTTGATCTGCCTAATTTTATCAAGTGTGACACACTTCCAATTGACCGTGAGAAAGAATTAATAGCATTAGATCAGGACAGAAAGATGCATCACATACTAATTAATGAAATTGTGGAAAAGGAATGCAATTTGTTGTCATCTAAATAATGTTGTTCGAATTTGTTCAAATTTAAATTTTGCTGTTTTTCCAGAATTAAGAAAGCCATGTATCTCGCAATCATACTTGACCTGACATCAAGTATCATATTGTGTTACTGTTCCTCTCAGTTGCCCTTTCACCCTAACACTAATTTAGTCTTTTCTAGAGCATCATTGTGTGTCAGAGTCCATTCTACTAGCTAAATTATGTAATATATAAAAAAACTGGTCTGGAGGAGATAAGAGGCAGGCAGTAACAGAGGTTCAATCTGTAGTGATCCAACCATTCATATGCATATTATAGAATATATCAAACTTAACATGGCATATTCATTTTACATTAAAAGCTATGATCTAAGCCAGATAGACTAGGTACAGACATCCATGCACAAAGGTTTCAGAGGTGTAATTTGCCCTACTATAGTAACCTTCAGAAAATTGGGTAAATCATGTTTATCACCAAATGTTTATTGGCCTACAAAATTCAATCAGCAGTCATGTCATTTTACATGCTTCTCAACTTGATGCCAAAGAAGTCATGAGGTCATGAGTGCTTCTCAATTTGATGTTGTTTTGTCCAAGATTCAAGAATTTAATAAGCATGTCATTATTCATACAACTGTTTAAAATATTGCTCTAAGCAGCTGTTCAGCCATTTTATTGCCAGCAGAATAGTGTTCCATGGTACATATAATATTTCTAGTTAATATTACTATTTAATTTCTGCTGCATTTATATTGTTACTACAAATTATTGTCAGGCTTTAAACTGAAATATGTCCACTTTCACCACAGTTGAGTTTTAATACTAAGTGGTTAATAGATTAGTTAGATCTGTTGCAGAGGAGAATCTCCGTTATGATATTAAAAAACTCGGGAAATAAGACCTGTTATTGTCATGCATACTCTTATGGTTTAAAAAAAATTTCTTGGACAAAAAGAATCAAGTTGATCTGGTAGATCAGTGAAACAAACTTTAAATCATTATGAATTCTTTTCATTGTCTGAGGCAACACATATATATAGCATGTGAAGGCCTATTAGGAGAGTGGCTATTCTCTGCAGACTCAAAGAAATGCATTTCTACTTTTCAGATCCCCAAGTGTGTTGCCCTCAACCTCATAAGATGTCGGCTTAGAGAATCTGTGTCAATGCCTGAACCTTTCTATATTGATGATTCTTTTCACTCTGTATTATTATTCTTTTCATATATGCCCACAGCCTGATGAGCCATGGACTTTGTATTTAAATGGCTCAAAAATTTTCCTCTCTATCTCTGAAAAAATTTACTAAGTCTGAAATTTTTTGTGTCTTTATATAGATTCCCTAAGTGAAAACCACTAAATTAGCACATCTTAATAAATAAGCCATACATTATTCTTATGGAACTTGTTAGTGTTCAGAAGCTAAGATGCCACCACCAATAAGTGTGATATATTATTTCCTACATTTGTTCAGTTTAATGAACTCAGGAGCTTCCTTCGAACTTCTCCCTCCCCCACAGACAGTTCTTTTTTACTTTGCAAAAATAAATATTATATCATTTTCATTCTTGAAAATTCAACTTGAGAACGTTTTCTGAGAACATAAACAAACAAGGCAGTGTCCCTATGTTCTTTGTGATTCTATAAAGCAGTTCATTTCAATTTTTTGTTACTGACATTGTATGACTTTACATAGATCTAATCTGAAGATTGTTTAACTTCAAATTGTAAAAACTTCCTTAAAATTTGACAGACAATTAGAACATTCTCATACTCTTAAACATTTTCATCATTCTTAAAGATCTTTTTTTATGCACAGAATTAAGGAAAAATATAATTAAACTACTATATAAAGGACGGTTCTTTAATCAAAAGAAAAACAAGGCAACATTTCAGTAATAGAGTTTACAGTACCTATGAACATGGAATTCACTTGTTTATTTGTCAGATATTAGGACAAAGACAGTTACACCACTATCTCAAAAAAGGTTCTTTAATCACAATAAAAACAAGGTAACATTTCAACAATAGAGTTTATCGCTCTTAAACTTAGTACAAGAAGATGCCCTAATACAAGTCACCTCTGTTCAAAAGATGATATTAGGTCTTTGTAATATGAAGGATGATGTGATTGGCCTGATAACTAATTCAATATATAATATAATATGCAGTAGAAGCTAAATTTGAGTCTGCTTTGAATCTGGATTCTATTCAGATATAATAAAATTTGACAGAGTTCATTCATACTCCGACTATCATGTCAAGTTCCAGCCTTGTCTTCTTGAATAGTTTCTTTGGCGTTTAGAATACTTTTCCTGGGATATTAGCATTAAATGAATATAAAATCGTAGAACAAAAGCAGCTTGACTCTTTTAAAGGGTGCAGATTAAGACCCGAGGGGAACATTGTGTCAAGAACATCAGAATTAAAAAAAAAAAGTCATATATGGTTTGCATAAATATAAAGCATAAATGATCCATAAAAGATAATTGATAACTAAGTTTTTCAACAGTAATTATGATTTAGTTTCTCTGGTATCAATTAATGCAACGTTGATGAATTAATGGCCAGCTAATAAATACCTTGGTTTTAATAAACAGATTAGTTTTTTTGACATTATCAATAATAGGATATCCAAAATCCGGTCAGCTGTGTTTGATTGCTCTCTTGATTTCTTATGATGACATAGAAAGTTATGAAATGAACTCGGCGGACCAGCTAACACAAAATCAATCCCACTTATCTATGTAAAGAAAATCAATTTCTTCGATTCCTTTTTCTATTTATTTTCAAAAAATGGGGCATACCTAAACTTGTGCTATTTGAACAATTTTCTGGGCCATGTTGCTGACACAATTTAGGTAAGATATACTTAGCAAGCATTCACTTCCCTAGTTTTGAACTTGGCAAGCATTCAATCAAAAAAGTCCTTTTTTCTCGGTTCTAACAACATAACGCATAACTTGTATAAAAATTGAGTCCATCGCTATTCTGGAATAGAACCATGGAAATTTGTTTAAGAGTAGGGAAACGCATAAGAAAGTAAAGAATTTCACAAGCATAACACGATCTTTGAACCCTAAAAACACAGTTCGCACCTGCGCAACGACGGCAGCAAAGGACATGCCAAGCGGAAGAGTGAGATCCTGGAGACCCTCATCAACACGGCCAACGCGAGGCAGCCACAGGCTATGGCTTCTACTCCTCAAACGCATCCCTGTCCGCTGCGTCCGCTGACGGGAGGAAGAGAATGAAGAAGAAGACGCGTCATCCCTCTCCGTGCTCCTAGTTCTCGAACTGGAAACGCATCTTCCCCTCTCAAGCGGCTGCCACCGCCGCATCCTAACGGTAGCGCAATCGACGCGTCCGCCTGCCCTGCCCCGATCCCCCGCCGTCACCGCAATCGACCGCCGCACTGCCGTTCGATCGGGCGCATTCCATGCGAGATGAGGGAAGAGAGCGCCGTCGGAACTGGGAGCAAACTGAGCGGTGGAATTTGATGGAAGGGCAAATTAGTACCTTCGCTGGGGATTGGAACTGAGGGACTCGAAACGCAACAAATCTGAGCTGTTCATTCCTTGCTACCGGTCTTATCGGATTCGGGTCAACCTCCTCTTGTTCTGCCCGATTTGCATGAAAATGGATTCGGATTTTTCCGGTTTTAAATAAATCTTTTTTGTTTAAAAGAAAGAAGAAGAACTCAATCGGCAACAAATCGGTTGACTTTTGACTATAACAAAACAATGTTTGATCTAATATGTATTCATTTCTAAATTATATACTATGTGTTTGTAGTCATATTATGTTTATATAGATTAGATCAAGCTAAAAAAATAAGACAAATTTTGCAAGTTGACCAGATTTAGCTTTTATTAGTGTCGTTTATTATGTGATTTAAACATTAAACAAGAAGGTTAAAACAGAAAGGACAAATGGGAGAGGAAGAATACCACATAATTAATTAAATAATTCAATATAATTTTAATTAAGGAACAATAAATCAAGATGATGTTTTCATGATATAATTTTTGGAAATTGAATAATTGCCTTTACAAAAATTAATGTACAATATATGTTTTTTTTAATATTAAAATCATCTATATAGATATATATCCCTCTGTAGTTGATATCCTTCCAAATAAAACTCAAAAATCATTATATATATATATATATATATATATATATATATATATATATATATATATATATATATATATATATATATATATATATATATATA